TGTTACAAGGTCTCAGGAGTGAACTGGGAGCAGGTGTGTTAAATTTGGTGTTAATGCTCTCACATTTTCTCATACTGGTCACTGGAAGTTCAACATAGCACCTTATGAACTCTCTGAGGATCTGAAAAAAGAATATGTTGCTCTACATAAAGATGGCCTAGGCTATAAGAAGATTGCCAAGACCCTGAAACTGAGCTGCAGCATGGTGAGCAAGACCATACAGCGGTTTCACAGGACAGGTTCCACTCAGAACAGTCCTCGCCATGGTCGACCAAAGAAGCTGAGTGCACATGCTCAGCGTCATATCCAGAGGTTGTTTTTGGGAAATAGATGTTGTGATGTATGGACTGTTGGGCTGTGTATTAGTGTGTGAGTGTATGAGTGTATGTATTGTGATGTATGGGTGGTTGGGCTGTTGTTGGCTGTGAATGATGCACTTCCTTTTTTTTCCCTTTACTTCCTGTTCCTGTTGGCAGTTGGTGGAATGTTCCAGGGATTTGAAATGGCAGCTGCAGAAACCCTGTGTAACAAGGCTGCAATATGAAGATCCTGTTATATATGTATTAATAAAGTGAGTACTTCGTTATACAGGAATTATTGACTGATTTGTACAAAACATCACAGACGTATGAGTGCTGCCAGCATTGCTGCAGAGGTTGAAGGGGTAGAAGGTCAGCCTGTCAGTGTGCAGACCATACGCCGCATACTGCATCAAATTGGTCTGCATGTCGTCCCAGAAGGAAGCCTCTTCTAAAGATGATGCACAAGAAAGCAAGCACACAGCTTGCTGAAGACTGGCAGACTAAGGACATGGATTACTGGAACTATGTCCTGTGGTCCGATGAGACAAAAATAAACTTATTTGGTTCAGATTGTCAAGTGTGTGTGGCGGCAACCAGGTGAGGAGTACAGTCAAGCATGGTGGTGGGAGTGTCATGGTTTGGGCCTGCATGAGTGCTACCTGCACTGGGGTGCTACTGTTCATTGAGGGAACGATGAATGCCAACATGTACTGTGACATACTGAAGCAGAGCATGATCCCCTCCCTTCAGAGACTGGGCCACTGGGTAGTATTCCAACATGATAACGATTCTAAACACACCTCCAAGACAACCACTGCCTTGCTAAAGAAGCTGAAAGTAAAGGTGATGGACTGGCCAAGCATGTCTCCAGACCTAAACGCTATTGAGCATCTGTGGGGCATCCTCAAATGGAAGGTTGGGGAGCGCAAGGTCTCTAACATCCACCAGCTCCATGATGTCATCATGGAGGAGTGGAAGAAGACTCCAGTGGCAACCTGTGAAGCTAAGGCAGTGCTGGAAAATAATGGTGGCCACACAAAATATTGACACTTTGGGTCTAATTTGGACATTTCCACTTAGGCTGAAGTCTTCATGCAGGAAAGAGGGTTTGGGGTTTTTAGAGCACTGGGCCCGATTTTGCGCTTGGGTACAACCTTTATAGCAGTGATGGGTTGCACCTAAATGGGAGAGGGTCTGCAGTGCTGGGGGATAGGATGGCAAGAAGGTTGGAGGAGATTTTAAACTAGTAGTAGGGGGGGATGGTCATAGCAATCTACAAAATGGAGATAGGACTGAAAGAAGATGGGCTTTAGCTCAGTATAAGGGGGTGGAGATGGGGGGAGGGGCAAGCTCAGAACAGAGAAGGTATGTAATGTAAATAATTCACAAAAAGTACAAGTGACTCATGATATTAAATGTATGCTTACTAATGCAAGGAGACTAAATAACAAAATGGGGGAACTAGAGGCAATAGCATACACTAAACAATATGACATAATAGGCATAACTGAAACATGGTGGGATGAGACACATGACCGGGCAGTTAACTTAAATAGGTACATGTTATTTAGGAAGGATAGGAAAAACAAGAAGGGTGGTGGGGTATGTTTGTATGTCAACCATGAGTTAAAGCCAAATCTTAAGCAATTGGAATGTGATGAGGAAAATGTGGAAGCTTTATGAGTAAATATCTTCTTGGGGCAAAAGAAGGGAAATCAACTATTGGTTGGGATATTTTATAAACCACCTAATTGAGGAAGCTTCAAATCTGGGTAACACTTTAATTATTGGAGATTTTAATTACCCGGACATAAATTGGGACAGAGGGACTATTAGCTCAGCAAAGGGAATTAGGTTTTTGAAGTTGTTAAATGACACTTGTCTGGAGCTGGTTTTAACAAACAACGTTGATCTTTCGACCAACATTCAAGTAGGTGAGCACTTGGGAAATAGTGATCACAATATAGTGTCCTTTGAAATAAACTCAAAAAAAACAAAAGCACATGGGGTATACTAAAACATATAATTTTAAAAAGGCCACACAAACATGTATTCCTGACCCTATAGTGTTAAAACCCCTATCTAGCCCCCTGGGCCCCTCATGCCTCCATAAATATAGCAAACTCTTACTGTATTCAAGCCTAAAGCTCTGCATGCTGTTTGTCTCAGAAAAACAAGCAGCCTGCTTCCATCATCAGAAGTGGTAGCCTTCTCCATAGGATTGGCTGAGACTGACAAGGAGGCAGATCAGGGGTAGAGCCAGCATGATTCAAACACAGCCCTGGCCAATCAACATCTCCTCATAGAGATGAATTGAATCAATTAATCTCTATGAGGAAAGTTCATTGTCTGCATGCAGAGGGTGGGGACACTGAATGTTTGGATGCATTTTAGGCAACCATGACCCGAGAAGGATCTCTAACAGCCATCTGAGGAGTGGCCACTGAAGTTATCACTAGGCTGTAATGTAAACACTGCATTTTCTCTGAAAATACAGTGTTTACAGCAAAAAGCCTGAAGGTAGTGATTCTACTCACCAGAACAAATTTAATAAGCTGTAGTCGTTCTGGTGACTATAGTGTCCTTTTAACAAATTTAAACCTCTTTAGTTTAGAAAAACGTTGCCTGAGAGGGTATATGATAACATTATACAAATACATTCGGGGCCAATACAAACCATTGTGTGGAAATCTATTCACAAACCGGACTTTACATAGGACACAAGGTCATTCTTTCAGACTTGAAGAAAGAAGTATTCATCTAAGGCAAAGGAAAGTTGTTGTTTTTTACTGTAAGAACAATAAGGATGTGGAATTCTTTGCTTGAAGAAGTGGTTTTATCAGAGTCCATACAGATGTTCAAAGAGCTACTAGATGCATACTTGTAAAAAAACTGAATATTCAAGGATATAATCTTTCAATGTAGGGTAATAACTGCTTGATCCAAGGATAAATTTGACTGCCATTCTGGGGTCAAGAAGGAATTTTTTTCCTAGTTTGTTGCAAAATTGGAAGTGATTCAGACTGGGTTATTTTTGCCTTCTTTTGGAGCGACAGCAAAAAACAAATGTGAAGAAGGCTGAACGTGATGGACATAAGTCTCTTTTCAGCTATGTAACTATGTAACTTTTGTTGTCAACGGTTTAGATATTAATGGCTTTGTGTTGAGTTATTTTGAGGGGGTAGCAATTTTATTTTGTTATACAGGCTGTACACTTACTATTTTACATTGTAGCTGTCACGATTCGGGGAACCCAACACGCTGGCACACACACACACACACACGCACAGAAAAGGGGCCGTACCGGACCTTAGAGTGGCCGGGCTAAGCACACACAGAATAGTCAGGAAACAAGCCGAGTAAGGGGAACCAGAAGACAGAATAACGTGAAACGAGCCGAGGTCAAAGGGTAGGAGAAAGTCACAGAGTCAGATAAACAAGCCAGAGAGTACGTAACCAGAAGCGCAAGGTAAATCACAATACTAGCAAGCAAAGACCACAACAGGGCAGGGAGGAACAGGAAAGGTAAGTATTTAAACCATAAGGTTAATTCTGATTGGATAATTTCCAATCAGAATTAACAATCACACGTGGGAGATATCTAGACCTCCCACTGTGATTGAGACACTGTGCCTTTAACGCCGGGTCAGGTGACTGACCCCGGCGTGTACTAACCTGGGCGGTCTCCCAGCGTGCAGCGTCATGTATTCTGCCGCTGGGGGACTTGGAGGAAACGGCGGGCGGCATCCGAGGCTGGAAGGATGCCACTCGCCGAGCCCACGAGGAGGAGGGAACTGTGGACGGCTGGAGGGTGAGTACCGCGAGCGGAGTGCAGCCTCCCCTCGCAGCCGCCCGCGGGATCCCGACAGTAGCAGAGTGTCATTTATTCAGTGTTGTCACATAAAAAGATATAATAAAATATTTACAAAAATGTGAGGAGTGTACTCACTTTTGTGAGATACTGTAGTAGTTTCTAGACTGTAGCCAAATGGACCCAGTAGAGGGCCTTGCTTGGATATGATTGGTAGAAGGAAGGGTACAACATATAGCTAATTAGTGCCATTGAAAGTAAAGCATTAGTAGTATGAATAGTATGCATTAGAGTATCTATATGTTTCTCAGTTGGCCAAATGCCAACGCATAGTTGCATTAAAGGAGCAGAAAAAAAAGAAAAGGGTATCGAACAGAAAATAACACAACTATATTCAAGTAGGTGACCATATGCGAGTCACATGATAAGGTGTATCTATTTTGCAGCTTTGTAAAGCGTATGTGGGGAGGAGGGATATAGCAGTAGTCCTACAAGCTGACCAGGATATGGTATAGAGATGGATCATCGCATATTATGCATCTCTTAGGGAATGTATTTGTACAGTAAAATATAATACATATTAATGTAGGGAATGGTACTTCCCTACATTAATATCTATTATTTTACTGTGCAAGGAATTCAAAAGCCATATAACACAAAGTGTTCAGTAGATTAGAATTAACATATATGCTCACATAACTGGCAGTTGATGAGTTGGTGTAGGCAAAAAGGCTTATTTGCCAAGCTCGGCAAGTTTCAGACTGTAGTGGTAGTTCATTTGTTGCCAGGTATCATGGACCATGTGTGGGAGACTTTCGTTGGAGACTTCTGGCTCTATCTGACCAGCTTATCTTAGCAAATAGCATATACAATACTTTACTGTATTGTTACTGTAGTGAGTAAATCACCTCCTGATTATCCTATAATAAAAACAGTAAAAACACATACATAGTATAATACCGTTATATAAAGTAGGAATAATCAATTCAAAGGTATTGGGTCACTCACAGACACAGAGCCACATAGAGCTGGCTCTGACTTCAATGGCAGGTGAATAATAAGCCTATTCCAGCTTTCTCCACCAGGATAACTCCTTTCTGGTCCTTCAAATAATTTTCAGGATGTCCAATGAGTTAAAACATATAAACTTTACTATATATAAAATAACATACAAAATAAAAATCAATTAAAATACTATATAGTGAAAGAGACCACAGCACTAACGCGTTTCGACCTCCAGGTCTTTGTCAAAGTGTGTGGTCCATAGTGATCTTCCTCTCTTTAAATATCCTGGGTATTCAATTTGCCGCCGTTTGCTGGCGTCCTGCACTTCCGCGTCACGTGACCTTTAGTCCGATCACGTGATTCTGACATCGCGTCACTTCCGCGTCACGTGACTTCCAATCCGATCACGTGACTCCGTATACCAGTGTCACTTCTGGGTTTTTTCGGCCGTCTTAATCAGCTGCTGATGTCACTTCCAGGCTATCAATGTTCCCTACATATTAATGGTAAAAAAGCACTATCGCCATATTTAAGATGGGAAAAACGTTTTCATATGCACTCACATTTCTAATGTGGCTAACATAAAATAATCTAATATAGTACATTAGTACATATATTATCAAATTTAATATAAAAAGAGACATTTACCCAGATCATTACTTTAAACTATATGGTGTCTTCAAACATGTATAATATGATTTTTATACTAAAGTTTATTTCTAGATGTTTTAATTACATTTAGAATGTCATTTTTTTGTTATAGAAACTACCTATTTATTTTTTGATATAAACAGACCTTATTGTAAGAATATATATAAGATAAATAATAAGATATAAAGAAAGATTATCAGTTCTTTATCAAGGGTTCCTCCTCAAGCGGTATTAATGTTAAGCTCGTATTCTTCCAGTTGTGTTTCCAGGTGTCATAACTTGTTGACTATGCTATTGTGTGCTTCAGCAAACTCACTGAGTTAATTTTCTGTGTGTGAGGTCCATGAGCCTAGATCAAGTAGATCCTTTCTCATATTTTTTACACTGTTTTGCAGCTTGAAATTAATTTAGATGAGAGTATCCAATGCAGTCATATATAAACATAGCAGACAGTCACTTGTATATGGAAATTGAAAAACAGCAATCAACTATTTAGGAAAATTCGCAAAAGACAGTTGATTTTGGAATCGGAACTGTAGTCAGCAGTAACAATACAAAATTTCAAAGGAGACTCCTCTGTCCACAACATAATAAATAAAATAGTGTCTTTCAATCTGAAATTCATTAAATCCATAAAAATACAAAAATAATGGGAATTGCAAACACCTCACCTTCTCACGTGTATCGTGCGGATTGTCCACACTTAATCATAAACATTCCACATGTCAGAAAAATGTTGACAAATGTCTGTATTTATTAATATTGCCTTCTTTTTTTCTTACATATGCCGATGAAGTTGTTGTCATTTTTTTTTTTTATTGAAGCAAGGTATTTAGATTTATTTTCTGATTTAGTCTGGAAATCAAAGGGTTAAATTAAGTTGTCATTTGCCATTATTCCAAACGGGAGTGGTATATTTCCTATTTAGGTATGACATTTTCAGTATATCAGCGTCATTGATTTTGATAAAGTATTTTTGGTAAAAACTAAACATGTTGATAAACCTTGATGTGTTGTACTAGACTATTGGGATTATGATGAATATGAGTTTAATGCATATTGAGTAAATGAATTACTATTTTAACATTAACCTTGAATGACCTGTCTATTGGTATTCGCCTGGAGGTATATAGTTTTATTTATGAATGTTCAGGTAAGGGTTATGTTCTGCTTATTACTTCAATGGCCAGATCATGTTTTTCAGATTATGTACTGTACACTTTGTAACATCATCTAAGCATTATTCTCTGTAATGCGGCTTGAATGACACAATTAGGTGTGAAATAGTCATTGAAAGTGCAGGTCAAGAAGGGTCATGAGGTGAGGCACAAAAAGGCCTGTATTGAATACTAATTGCAGTGTTCGAGCCCTAATTTCATGGATTACAAAGCAGAAATAATGCAATGCCCTTTCCCCAGCTTTTCTGCTCACATATCAATGAGTGTTCAGAACTCAGTGATATGTTTAAAGGCACCTATCTTAGATGAAATAGTGTACTTGGTAAATCACAATGGCCTACCATGTTGAGCTGTCGAGCCTTTTACGACCTCAATTTACTCATATACGGCAGGCCGTAACTGTAATTCTAATACAGGAAGATTAATTCTAGAGATTTTTGCTTGATTTTGCAATCTTGTCATTTACAATTTCATTTTTTTATTTATTATTATTTTTTTATATATAATACAAAACATTACAATACAATACAATTACACAATACATAAAATATTATACCTTGGAGAAATTAATCTAGTCTTAGAGTTTAAATTTAAAATTTTAATTGATTTTTTCCATCTTTATTACTTAAAAGACAATGACAACACTAACGCTAATAACAAATTCATACTACCATTCACTCCAGGGGAGTTTAATCTGTGATATAACTATTCACTTTTTTTCCTAATATATCTAGGATTAGATTCTGTTTTCTATCCCACTCCGACCATCTTTCTTTAAAAATTTTTTAGGATTAGGCTATTGTTCTGATAAAAACCCTTTCCCATTAAATATTGATACTCTAATAGGACAAATAAATATTTAAATTCCACGTCCTCCTTCATTTTCAATTTTCTAGCTATCAAACATTTGAAGGCTGCCTTCAAAAGATGGACTACAATAAATCTTGATTCTATCTGGAAGGTACATATATCAATATGAAAAAGGGCTCTATCTGGATCTAGTTCCCATTTTTTGTTTATTAAAAAATATATTATCTAAAAATTTTAATCCATTGAGTTTGGATTTTACTGCACTTACACCAAATGCACTAATGATCCTTTTTCTTCCAAACATCTCCAGCATAACCCATTTTCATTGGGAAAAAAAAATGCTTAATCTTTTTGGAGTTAAGTACCATTTAAAGATTATTTTAAAGTAAGTCACTAATAAATGTATATTGTGGATAATTGTTTTCGTGAAATGAATTAGTCTGATCCTTATGTCCTGCTCCATATTTAAATTTAAATCTTTGATTTTTTTATGGTCAAGTATGACTTGAATTCTACTCTTTCATCAGCTATAGTTGCAAGAAAAAGTATGTGAACCCTTTGGAATGATATAGATTTCTGCACAAATTGGTCATGAAATATGATCTGATCATCATCTAAGTCACAACAATAGACAATCACAGTCTGCTTAAACTAATAACACACAAAGAATGAAATGTTGCCATGTTTTTATTGAACACACCATGTAAACATTCACAGTGCAGGTGGAAAAAGTATGTGAACCCTTGGATTTAATAACTGGTTGAACCTCCTTTGGCAGCAATAACTTCAACCAAACATTTCCTGTAGTTGCAGATCAGATGTGCACAACGGTCAGGAGTAATTCTTGACCATACCTCTTTACAGAACTGTTTCAGTTCAGCAATTCAAGAAAGCGATTCACACCAGACATCCCAAGAATACTGCTGAACTGAAACAGTTCTGTGAAGAGGTATGGTCAAGAATTACTCCTGACCGTTGTGCACATCTGATCTGCAACTACAGGAAACGTTTGGTTGAAGTTATTGCTGCCAAAGGAGGTTCAACCAGTTATTAAATCCAAGGGTTCACATACTTTTTCCACCTGCACTGTGAATGTTTACATGGTGTGTTCAAAAAAAAAAATGGCAACATTTCATTCTTTGTGTGTTATTAGTTTAAGCAGACTGTGATTGTCTATTGTTGTGACTTAGATGATGATCAGATCATATTTCATGACCAATTTGTGCAGAAATCTATATCATTCCAAAGAGTTCACATACTTTTTCTTGCAACTGTATTTCCATGATCAGTCTACCAGGTTTTTGTTTTTCCCAGGAAGATATCTTTCATTTTTGTATTTTCTTTATATTTTTGTTAGGGATATTTCTTTGCCTATAAAGTTTTTTTATCTTCATGTAGCTATAGAATTCACTTGAAGGTATATTATATATAGTTTGAATTGTTTTGAAAGATTTTGCTTTATTATTTTCGATCAACTGATGAACTTTTATAATTCCTTTTTCCTTCCAGATCTTTAGTAGAACATAGTATTTAATAACATTTATTTCAAGATAGGGTTATTTTTTTTCACCAGTTTATTTTTGAAAGATTTTGCTTTATTATTTTCGATCAACTGATGAACTTTTATAATTCCTTTTTCCTTCCAGATCTTTAGTAGAACATAGTATTTAATAACATTTATTTCAAGATAGGGTTATTTTTTTTCACCAGTTTATTTTTGAGTTCAGTGATAAATAGTTTGAATCCAAAGTAAGTTTTTTTTTTGTCAATCTTTCTTTTATTGAGGCAATAAAACCCACTTCTTGTTCCTGTGTGTCCAACTTGTCTGGTTACAACTACATGTCTGTTCGTCCACCCATTGTAAAGCGCTGCCGAATTTGATGGCGCTCTATAAATATCATAATAATAATAATTGTGAGGACGGTATAGAAAGAAGAAGAGGGAGTATTATCGAGTAAACAGACATCACATTTGTGACCATAATGTACAATCATAAACTCCAGCAGGCTCCAACCTCATTTTATAATAATAATAGGAAATGGAAAACATGCTAGTTATCTACTGAGCGAGAAATATTAAATGTCGGTGAGCAATACTGTTAAACACAATAATAAGTTTTTAGGTGTGTTGTATTTCACAGCCTAAAGATTCTTGTCTTGCTTAGGCACTGTAGCATATCCCTGGCAAGGTTAACAGACTAGTCTACGAATTAGTAAAATTAAGGCAGGGTTAACCTAGTGCATGTTATATGTCGCAATGAGTTTACATTAGCGAGATTAGGCAAGCTATTCATGAGTGTGCTACCAGAATATGCATATGCAGAAATTAGGGTATTTCAGGCTATATATACGTATAAGTATAATTATCACTTAGATATTAACAGTATTAGAGTAGTTCAATAGACTGATATCCACCCTATGGCACACATGTCACCCTGTGCTTGGTTGCTGCATTTGTGGGGACTCCGAAAGAAAATCAAAACAAACTTACATACATTGAAAACATCGAAAGATGTGTTAACTAAGGCATTAGGTAGAGTCATTGGATACCAGGCATCCCGCAGGTTGGCAGATAAGTCCGAAAATCCAGTAGGTGCGGATAGCCTAAAAGACAGAGTCCGCTTGAGTAGGTAGAGAGTCACGTAACAGTAATGGCTCAGTTGTCGCATGATGTCATTCTGGTCACAACACTGGATCTTATTCGGGGACACAGTTCATGAACCGCTGTGTCAGCCAATACCCTCACTGGGCATCGATATTTCTGTTGCTTGGTAATTCCGGAGGGTGAAGGCGAGC